CAGAATGTCCCACAGGATTAGAACTTGATATTTATTACCCAGAATATGGCTTTGCAATCGAAGTACAAGGCGTACAACACGAGAAATATATCAAATTCTTCCATAATGGCGATCCCAATAATTTTATCAAACAGCAAGTGCGGGATCAACTCAAGAAAGAATTATGCAAAGAGAATCAGATTGCACTAAAGTATGTTTGGTATTACGAAGACCCATTTGTAGTTATTCCAGAGCATCTTCGTGAATTGGGTCTCATTGAGTAAACTCGAAACTTTAAATGCGTTTGCAATTTTGCGAATTAGACATTTATTATTTTTTAGTGAAATATGTGAATTATGAGTTGTTTCGATATTGGATTCACACCCCAGCTTTATCCATACAACTTTTAATCATTTATTATAATATTTATATTGTATAAGAAGAGTTAAGGTTCGGTATACTAATGCAAGATAAGCAACTTAATTGTAATGTAAAATTCATATTTCGCAATAATTAAAGAAATAAATGACTAGACCAATTCTACTAAAATAATCTTGATGGAAAGATAAAAAAAGAATGCTTTATCTATAATATCCGCGGAAATAAGATCATTCATCTAGTTGAAGAAGGGAATTCGCATATGAGAACCGGGAGGGTCTCTTTTCGGATCTTGCATCGTCAAAGTATTTTATTACGTCCTGAACTAACAACTAAATTTATAATCAATATTCAAAGTTAGCGAATTTTTGATGCATACAACACAAAACCCTGCAATAACACTAACCGCCCATTTCAATATACATTCGTAAAAATATATAAAATCTTGCATCTCCGAAAAATCCCGTGGTAAGTTGGCGTTATCAACCTCATTTAGTCGAAAATTTCCTAAATTGATATTGACAGTGAATATCAATTCTTCATAGTATAAATAAAAAAAGCATACGCACCACAGTAATCAAGATAATATAAATGAAGACGTAGTCGAAAACTCTGTGCGCCAAATATAAACAGCCTCTTTGGTAAACGCCTACGATTTTTGATTACTTCTTTTACAATTTTTGAAAATATTTTTTTCAGATTGCGGGCAATTTTTTAAGCGTCAGCGATTTCTTTATCTTGCTTCGCAACTGGCTTGGAGCCTTCCACATATACAATTTGGAATTTATCAGCGTTGGTCATAAAACCAACGCCATCTGCACGGTTCTTATTAATATGGTTTTTCGAGGGAATCTCGCCATACTCGTAATGTATTTTCGCTACGTTCCATAAAGCACTATCTAGGCATGGATGAACAAACGCGTTAAGGTGCGCTTGCTCGATTGTTGCAATGCTTTGAAGAGGATTTTGAGCTCCAAGTGAAAACGCTTTCACGCTACCCAAAAGAAAAATGGTTAGAACAGAATTTGGAAAAATGAATTAATATGATGATAATGACTACATACAACTGTGGTAATGTACGACGTAAAATTCGTACTAGTGCAGTAATTAGATTGTTTTGCTCTGAGGATCGTAAATCATCAATTTTAATTTGCCAATCGTTATCAGAAATATTTTGTGAGAAGAATTGTACTAGGAATTGGTGCACATCATCAGGAATTAACGATTCCGTTATAATGTCCATTTTTGATAGGTATGACTTTGCTATCGATCTTGGAAGCATTTTGAAGAAAGATGAACATGGGCGAAGGTCGATCAAATCTCCATCAGGATATTTTTCCGTATAAATCGAACAAATTTTTTCCGCTAATTCCGAGTATTCAACGGCATTCCCTAAGACATCTACTATCGCCTGCACGGTGGAAAAAAATCAATAATGTCACAATCGTAGAATGTATTATTACACAGTTACATACCTCATTAAATTTTCCCACTTCATTTTCACTATTATCCACATCCTCAATACCGATGTCCTCGTTTTCCGTCGGGTTTTCGTTGGTTCGTTTCTGAGTCAGCGAAAATCTTAGTATTATTATTCATAAAAAATCGATGAAAACAACTAACTTACTCTCTTCTGATCATGAACCGATTTTCCACCATCGATACCATCGTCTAATAGTTTATGAAATGAAGCATGTGTCTCCCGTTTTCTTTTTTTTATCTTGTCCTATTATTTCGAAGATGTAACCTTTTGTCAGCATACACCTAAGTTTCTTCACTCGAATAAAACAAAAATACATTGATTTTTTCATTCTTCTTCCAATCCTCATATTGCTTCCAGTCGTCTTTATAGTCATTACCATTAAAATTTTTTCGTAAATCCAACAGCTTTTCCGATTCAGGAGCATCTTTTAACGCGTTGTCCAAACATAAACTATAATCATTATAGCCAGCTAACCTTTTTCGGTATTTGAACTCCACAAAGAAGTTCAACGGACGAGGGTCTGGGTATGTCTTCAAGAATTTGACTTTCTCTTCCCGAATTTCTTGTGATCTTGGCATTTATTGCTTTTGTTAATTTTGTTAACAGACGCGAAAAAGCGCGATAATTTTTTGCCGTGATGATTACCTACTGATTCGATAGATGATTGGTTCCTGCCATACGTATTAACATAGATTCATTTATCACATGATTGTTGTTGATCTAGCGGAACAGGATGAGAATTTTTCTTTTCAAAGTGTAGTTGATTTACTCGAGCTGAAAAAACTGAGGTTAATCGCTTGTATTCTGCGGATATCTCCCTGCACAAGCGGACGCTTAGGTATTAAGTTGAAGGTCGGGAAAAAACTGAGGTTATTCATCATGGATAGCGGGGACATTATGTCCGTACGTAAATGACTGAGGTCGACCATGATGGTACGCTTCAACGTTGACTACACTTCTTTCAGTGATAGTATACTGCTTTGACCTTTTACTATATATTTTCACATATTAACAAAACCCTACGCTAAGGGAGTACTTTTCGTTTGCTATCTCGATTACTAATTTTATTTAACAAAAGCTTATTATTACCCAGACATGATGTAATAAATATAGAGGAATATGACACGCTTTCAAGGGAGGGAGTACGCGGACCCTAGGCCATATAATGCGAGTCCCTGCGTCGTATTATTTCTTTGCTCTTTCAAAAGATCTACAGCCAATTTGTTTCTATCTCCTATTGCTAATTACGAGCTTTTTCTAAATTAGATTCTCGAAATAAATAATCCCTTACATATCTACAAAAGTTTCACCTATTAACATCACTCACATCTGCACAGACTATATAAAATAATATTCTCTGCAAAAGAACTTCCTCGAGATTAAGAAATTTCGAATCTACAACATAAATTTGAACCAAGGTAAAAAATATTTCCAATTCATACTTACCACTATCATTCATTTTCGCAACATTCAATTTCACCTTGTATTTAAGAAGTTTGTTACTTATTTTGTATTTTTTTTTACGATTCTGCGAGTATTCTGCTATTCTGCGCCAAATATTAGAGAATTCAGCACATGTAAAGAAGATGCTTATCATTTCATTACCAGAAAATTTTTCAGCGATCCTATCACGGAAATTTATTTTTGCGATACTGCATCTATTGTATGGGTGATGATGGTCAAAGATTTTCTCGGCAGGATTGAAATGCCAATATATAACAAAAAAGTAATATATCCTTGGGACATCTAAAGAGGATTAACATTGTAATGATATCATAAAATTGATACATTCATGCGTGAAAATGCCTCACACATAGTAATATGTAATTCTGGTACCGTATAGCACTGCATAAAGTATCTCCCGAAAAAAATATCCCCCTTAATTAGTATTAAGATACTATTTAATTACAAATGCTAATCTTTTTGAAAAATACCCCGGTATTAATCAAAATAACCATTTAAATTTATTTTACTTGATATTTTAATTAAAAATAAACTTTTAAAATAAATATTTGATTATATAAAAGATATTTATTAAATTGATTACAAAAAAAACCTTTCAATTTAGTTATACAATCAAAATCACTAATCATCCCATACATTAGTATGATTTACTACTTGTTCATCATAATAATCATTCTCTTCAATATCTACTCTATGATTTTCATTATCTATTTCTATTCTATCATCTGATTGATTTAATTGTTCAAGACAATTATAATCAAAGATTAATTCATCTTCTGTTCCATCACATTTATTAGAGACGCCACAACATTTAAAAGATCGTTGAATTAAATTAACATCAATAGCATTCCATGAATTATTAACCCAATTTACTACAGTTTCATAGGAAGGTCTTTTAATATTACCAGCAAGTGTTAATTCCTTTACGGAATCAGCCATCCAATTATTGTAATTTCATCACATCTATAAAATAAAATAAAAAATAAAGATAATTATTAAATTTATTTTTTAAAATTTAATATACAATATACAATATTAAATTTCTTACTTTTGTTTTAAATGATTTATTTACTGAAACATCCAAAGGTTGTAGACAAGATGTTAATCTTCCAGGAATAACAGCAAAATTGGTATTTTTTTTTGCTAAAATGCCTTTTTACAGAATTAACAAGATGTGTAGAAAATGAATCCAAAACTAGTAATGATTGTGGATTGAAAGTCTTGCATATTTCATCCAAACATTTTCAATCTAATAAAGCATTTCATTTTCATTCATCTATCCAATTGGATTAGTTCGAACAATAACTTCTTATGGAAAATTACCTCATAGAACTTTTTTAAGTTTGAAAATTACAAGAGGAGGAAGTTTAGTTCCATCAGCCATACAAATTAAAATTACTGTAAAATTAGTTTTTTCATGTCCTATTGTACGAATACTAATAGATTGCGTTTCTGTCTCATCAATAGTAATATTACTTGGCAAATCAAATATCATTAGAGTTTCATCCATATTGCCAATTAATACTAAAGGATAATCATGCTGAATACGTCTATACATAATAAATGCTAAAAATTCCTGTTGCTTTTCAATTAGATCATCTGATAAATATTGTGTAATAGTAGTACAATGACGATTACTTAGATTATTGCGACTCATTAAATCATCTACCCATTTATTATTAAAAGCAAAAGATTGAATATTAGGACATATGACTTACCATTGACTTTGTTGTGCAAATGCTTTACCTTTCAATTGTATCATACTTCGCAAAACTGTTTGTTGATTATTTCTTCTTTCTTTATCTATTCAACCAAAGCAGTTTCTAAAATGGGATATTTTAGAGGTGAACCTTTATTTAACTGTTTTAAACCTGGTTAAGCTTTTAAAAGTTGTGGTTTTTTAGATATCCAGTCCTGAAGTTACTTTGTTTCAATATTAAATTTAGCTGCAGTCTTGTTTTTGCTATGACCATTTTCATGATATAAAATAACTGTTATTTTTTTACACACATTTCATTGCCTTTATACCTTTTCTGTTACATTTATACAATTTGTTCTTTTGTTTGCACGCAGACCTATTAAAAAAAAATTAAGTTGTTTAAGTTGTGTAAGTTATAAAAAGTTGAAAAAAAATGTGAAAAAAGTTATAAATAAAAAATCGTGTATCTTATTTAACAAAAAATTTCAATAATAATCATTTGATCATTTGAATTGTGAATTGTTAAAATATAGAAAACAAATTTTTAAAATAGTTTTTTTAGCATTAGTTTTTGTTAACTTAAATATTAAATAATATTATTTAATATTAAAAATTCATTTAAATGCTTAAATAAAGTATTAAAGTCATTTTTTAAAAAAGAATTATTTATTTCGAATTTCTAAACTTAAAATGCTAAGAAAAAAAAAACTTTTTTTTATTTTTTTTATTTTTTTTTTCTTACGGTAGATTATCTAGTTATACTAATTAGTATCCCTTTTCAATATACCCCTCTAGTACTTTTACCCCTTACACAGTATCTCTGAGGGTACTATTCGAGCTAACCTGATATTTTTTGATTAAGACTGGAAATACTATATGCAGTGCTATATAGTAGCTCCCATGAAGATATTTTCAAGATCATTAGGCGCTATACTGATGATGTAAAAAATGCATCAATAGTCATTAATAGCTATCTCTGCAAAAAGGATGAGTTTGTTGTATTTGATTTTAGTAGGCTTGAGGATGATCCTCTTACAATTCAGCTAAGGTTTGACATACTATTGAACCTGCTATAGATGCCTGCCGAAACCTCCTCAAAATAATTTCGTCATACCCTTTTCTATGTTTTTAATATAGTTTTGACAGT